AGAAACACTGCCAATCTATATGGAATGTTATCTGTCTCTGTTCAGATGCATTCATGAACCCGAGACTGGAGTGTTGCAATGCACTACTAGATGTTCGTCTTGCACCTTCAATAAACAAGCTACAGTTAGTTTAAAAGGCAGCTGAAAGAGTTACTATCATATCAAGAAAGCATGACCTGTGGGAGCCAACAGCCTCGTGGTTAGTGTGCTGACATACCGCACATCTGCGTTCACAACGATCCGAGCTCGTGTCCCGTCCTGAGGTCCTTGCTGGTCCTGCTCCCCTCTCTTCACCCAATGCTTTCCTGTCTGCTCTCAAATAAAGGCCCAAAAGTATGTAACTTTAAAAAAAAAGAAAATGTGATTTTATCACCCCAATTTTTCATCTTTACATTAAGTAAAGATCGATTTTAAAATATTGCACACTTATGAAGTCCTAAATGACCTAACTCATTTATATTAACCAATCTTCTATGCTACAATCCATTTTCATTTAATTTTTTAAGGTCATAAAATTCTTAACTATTCAAAGTACCTAAACTCTGGAATAGTCTTCCTGATAATGTTTGTGGCTCATCAGTTTGTTTGTTTGTTTAGAATACAGACTTTCCCAGACAGCAACATAGTTTTGGCCCAGATCCGGCCCACATCTGGCCCATGTGAAATCCATGCGGGCCAGATGTGGGCCGGATCTGAGCCGACACTGCTTGCTGTCTGGGTGGTTACCTGCGACTGCTCACTGGGCCTCAAAGAGACAAAGGGAGATTTCTTGATTTTATGTTAGATTCCCTGTGCATCAGCGCCAAGACACTGTAAAATACAAACATGCATTTTCAGGAAACCATCGGTATTGTGGAAAGAGCTATAGTGAATTAAATGCTGTTCATAAGAGAAGAGCTTCATGAACATGGCACTTTACAAATGTCTTGATCCTTAGGAAATGCTCTGATTTAACTTTCCCAATCTCTAAACTCCGTGGAAACGCACAACTTCGTTTTATAATAGAGAGAAATTCCCAGAGAAACGTCCCCCTTAAAATTTCCACCCGCCGGTGTCCTGAGCTCTTAACTGGGGAGAGTGAGTAACCCTCCAGAGCCCAGTGAAACTCTTTCACACCGCTGTATTGCCACAGCTGTTGCAGAATTGCTGGGAAAACTCCCTTGGAACTTGAATGGACTGAACATTGTGTTCCTAATATAGGTGCTGAAAACAATCTTTGACGTGAACCATATTCTTATAAAATATTCTTTTCTAGTCTAAAATAGTCTTGTGATAAATGAGGTACTCTATAGGGCGACAATGAGTGGACAGTTCTACAAAGGTCCTGGATTGGGATCTTCTGACCTAGATGGTTTTGCTGTGGTGAAAAGTGTTTAGATTGAAAAAACTAAACTGCATATAAATATGTCATATAGATTATTCTAATATGGTCCTTAATTTCAAATGGGCATTGAAATAAAACTAATGAAAAAGGAATGAAAGAGGAATTGATCAAACTGAATCTAAATGCACCAATCCAGAGAAATAATTTAGGTTTTGGGATTGGAGCTAAACTCTGTGGGACAGTAGCAGAGAGCAGGAGCAGGAGCAGAGTTGCCCATCCCTGACAGTGCAACCAGTGTTTTGGTCAGCAACTTTGGTGGAGCAACTGCACCAGCATGATCACAAAAAAAATAGAATTAGTAATATAAAACAATGGTTTTCAGTGGCGACAAGGACTGAAAATACACATCTAATGTAACCATATGACCCTTATATTTTTATATTAAACACCACTGCCTTAATTTAACACACCTGATTCAGATCATCAGCTCATTAAGAGAGCTCCATGAGCAACTGAACTATAGGAAATATAGGAAAACCAAATCAGTCAGAAAATTTTTTGTCACTGCTTCAAAATTGAATAGCTTTTGTAGTCCTTTTATCTTATGCCAACTTCACTACCTGTTCTAATAAACTTGCAGTTTTTGTTTGGGGGCCTCAAAACAGGTCTCCAAGCCAATCGATGTTCAATTCATAAAGATGACTTGTGGAATCACCTCTAGCCCCTTCCACAGCCCTTAAGGCAGCAGATGCCTTTTTTTCTTCACTATAGGGAAACGAAACTGTGAGTGGGTCAGGCATCAAATAAATGAATGCCAGCGTAATATTAGTACATTATTTAAATATTTCAAGGACATCTTACATAAATAAAACACAACCCAAAACACAGCAACAAAAATACTGTACATATAAATAAAGAGAAGAAATGTGTGGTCAGTGGCGTTTCCCTTGCTCGCTGAAGACAGGAGTGTGTGTGTGTGTGTGTGTGTGTGTGTGTGTGTGTGAGAGAGAGAGATTTTTATATTAAACACCACTGCCTTAATTTAACACACCTGATTCAGATCATCAGCTCATTAAGAGAGCTCCATGAGCAACTGAACTATAGGAAATATAGGAAAACCAAATCAGTCAGAAAATTTTTTGTCACTGCTTCAAAATTGAATAGCTTTTGTAGTCCTTTTATCTTATGCCAACTTCACTACCTGTTCTAATAAACTTGCAGTTTTTGTTTGGGGGCCTCAAAACAGGTCTCCAAGCCAATCGATGTTCAATTCATAAAGATGACTTGTGGAATCACCTCTAGCCCCTTCCACAGCCCTTAAGGCAGCAGATGCCTTTTTTTCTTCACTATAGGGAAACGAAACTGTGAGTGGGTCAGGCATCAAATAAATGAATGCCAGCGTAATATTAGTACATTATTTAAATATTTCAAGGACATCTTACATAAATAAAACACAACCCAAAACACAGCAACAAAAATACTGTACATATAAATAAAGAGAAGAAATGTGTGGTCAGTGGCGTTTCCCTTGCTCGCTGAAGACAGGAGTGTGTGTGTGTGTGTAAGAGAGAGAGAGAGAGTACACTGATCATGGTACACTGGGCAACACTGGCATATATGCTGGTCGACTGTCACCAGAGAGCGCACAGAGAGAGTTGCAAATTTAAATGGCTACACAATCTTCACTGATGAGTGCTCCTGCAGAAAGACGTGATGTTTCCTTACCCTTTGACGGAAACTGTAGCCTCAGGAAGTGTTGCTAGATCAATTAAGCAATAGATGGTCCTATCCATATGATAGCCTGCCCAGACCAACTCAGCAGAAGGAAGATTATAGCCTCAATAAACAGACTAATGTAACACTTCAGTCAGAGATCAGAAGACTGATGACTGCTACTGGCGTACCTAAGCATCTCCTAACCCTCTACATGCAGCTAGTGAGACACTATGTAAGGCATGGGTTTTCAAACCTTTTGGGGCCAGGGACCCCTTACAGGAGAGAGGATTTTCCAAGGAAATGACAAACAACAAGCGCTACTCTACACTGCTCAAAACTCGCGTTTGAATCATCAGTGGCAAATCCTTTAAATATGCAAACATACTTACAGTCTTTGAGTCAGAACAGCCGGCATTGTAGTCTACTCTTCCGAGATCAGGAAACAGTCCTCCATAAAATGTGCTGCACACATCTGAATATTTGGGTCGAAGTGTTCTGGAACAGTGTTGTAAATACAACTTAACCACTGATTTCTAGTCGTGTCCTCTTTTGGAAGGCCAAACAAAGTAGTTTCGCTTTCACAACGAAAAACACAGCGGCCTAGCGTGAG